ATTTTAATGTCAATGATGACAGAGCATGAGATAACAAGTTCAGTTCTCTATTAGTAATGGGTTTATTAAATATATGTTATCTGTCTTCTGTCTTAAGTTGGTAATTTTGAAACCTTTCTAAATATTTCAATCATATTAAATAATATCATTTAGATTCCATATGGTCTCCCCAGAAATATGAGGACATTTTGCTGGCAAAACGGTTATGAAAGCTTCAACGTATTTATGTCAATAAGCTACCAGGAATGGTTCAATGAGTTTCCCAGTTATTTTAACACTGACAAGGAAGGAGATTTTGTCATACCGGGTATTACATATGTATTTTTTCCTTTAAAACAATGAGAAAAAGAATAGGGTGGTGGGTGAATCAAAGGAACATTAAAGAAATCTTTTTTTAACAAGAGAAATCTTTTTCAACAATTTCTACTCTAATATTTCTATATGTAATTAGTTTCTTTTATTTTTTAAGTTAGACTTCTAAGATGAAGCACAAACTTTCTCACATCCTGCATCTGCTATGCCTGGAAGCAGTTACATGTACCTCCACCATTAATATAAGAAAATAGTTGCTTTTATCATCATGTACACGATAATCAAATGGAGTGATTTTGAATAATTGTTACCACTAAAATCTAACATGATAATGATAGTAATATTTACAAAAAATGACTTTGGGACTTGAGAATACAAACAAAAATACACACATCAGTTGCCAGAGGGCGGTGAGGTGATGGGGCTTAGAAATCCCTTGAACAGTACAAATTTAACTGTACCCCTTTCAACTCTGACATGTTGAGTATTCATTGTTTGATGTTAAATGACACACTTAGTTATATTCAAAATAATTAATATTATTATATTGATGTACATACCCTCCCACATCATGGCCTATTGTACAATGTCATGAGTATTTATTCCTAGACATTTACCTGCTGTTTTACTGTGTATGAGAAGAAATATGTCCAACTCTCATAACTTGCAAAATTGCATAACACAAACATCCTAGGAACTTGAATTATTACGCTTGTATCCCCACCAATGAGTGGCATAACAACTTTAAAATACATAAATTAGAGAATAATTTTATTTTCATTTGGCTTTTGCTATTTTGTAGGAAACACTGTGTTCAGAAGTGGCCAAGATAGCTATTTAACAGAAAATTTACTCTGTTATTAAACATGTCACCACCTCACAAAGGTTATGATATGATAGACAATTAAATAATACATTTGGGAGTGATATCATGGTTAGAAATTAAACATGGCAATGGGCAGTAATTACAGATAATAAGCAACACGACCATATTTATAGGAATTGCATTTTGTCATGAGCGATATTGTATTCCGCTTTAGTTCCGCATTACCACTTTTATACGCTGCTATATTTAGCTGCAAATGTCGGACATCGAGTCAGTAGCATTGCCATTGGCGCACTTTGCAGAACGGAGTAAAAATACAAAACACAAGAAGTGCAGATGATTTTGCTCTTATTAAATGTTTGTCAATTAAACACATAGTTGCATGCCACAGATATAATTCTCTACGGTGTTTATCCCAGTTCTGGTCGTATCCCAGTTCTGGTCGCTACACACGTGGAGCCGCACAACCGAGGTAAACAAAGGCCGTATTACCCTCACTATAAGACGCCTAGCATTAATTTCAGGGGTGTTTGCTGGAAACCTCGCCTCCGTGCGTTATAACAAAATCAAGTGGGAAACATGATATTCGGTGGGAGAATACAGCGTTTTGCACGAGAAATTAAATTCGGAGAGAGGATGTCTTCCCAAGTATGTGTCTATTATGCTTCATTCAGAGTATTTGTAATTACAGGAGAAACCAATGAACGACTATTCACGAGTTGGAATTCGAGCATTTTACTTCAAACACTGCCCGAATGCATCTGACCCTTAACCATACTTACAGTTTGAGTGTATATATTCGTATTCCTTTGCAGTTATAAGAATAATTTTCATTAATTGTTATGTTTATGTCTAATATCTTCCAAAATAGATGTAGAAGTCAGAAGATCATTTCAGCAACGTGTGCATGATTTCCATAAGCACCTTTCCGTAGTTTGGTTATCGAATAGCACCTGATTAACATCCGTACATACTATTTGGGATTTAATAAATACATCCATTTTTATTTTGAACGAAAATACTAATGCGAGTTCGTCTGCGAGTCGGAAAATTTAAATAATCCATGCTAAGTGACATACATTGTATTTTACCAAATCAAGAGTTTATTAGTACCAATTATTGTATATTTTTTCAAAAATTTCACCATCACAGTGTCCATCACCTTTAACGCACAACCTCTTGCAGCGAATATCACAGGGTTTTATTGACTGTTTAGTATCAGGTTTTGGTATATGTTAAAAAAGAAAAACAAAATGGCAATACATTCGCATCAATAATATTTATTCGATGCATGAATACAAACGTGATTAAACAATGATATTTAACCCTAAACAGTTTTACAAAGATTCCAATTTTCTTAAGTCTCCTCCCGGCACGCCAAGCACAGATTTGCGTTTTATGTACAGTCTTTTCACACGCTTGTTTTCTGGGTTTCTATCGTGATTTCTCCTCACAAGATGCTTCTTCGGTATATCTAAACTGAGTAGCAATTTGCGAAACTCCTTGTAATCCGTTGGTCTTTTTGACCCGGAAGAAGGGTCTAGAGTGTGATAACGAATCAGCTTCGTGAGGTTTGATTCTTTTAACACGTTTCCGTTTGGCAACACAATTTCCAGATTACCCGTCACTGTTAAGTGACCCGTGTCAATTTTATGTTTGAGAAATAGAAACAGAGACATTAGTTTTCCTATAGTTCTTTTAGAACTAATGTTTTTGAGAAGATGATCGGGAACTCGCAACAAAAAGTCATTGTTGTTTAAGGGTTGGTTTTCATCTCGACCATCCCTTGTCGATGTGTTGTCGTCCTCCGATTCATTCGCTGTCTGAGGAGGTGCCGGTGTCCGATGATTTTGATTCGCTATCCGATTGGCTGTCATCTTCTTGTTCTTCCTGTTCGGACATCAGTCTCTGGTAGGTATCCCTTGTCAGAAGAATCATTGGCTTGCTCATCGTGAAGGGTTGAGAGGTAGGATCGATAGGATCTTATGCAAATGGGTAGAATCGAATGATGCGTGATTAACAACTCCCGTTTGACGCGTCGGCCGATCGTCTTGCTGACCAAGATACGAATGTACTTCTTGTGTCGCGACAGTCGTATTTTATCCTCATCCGGTAAGTGTATGTTTCCTCTCAGAATGTTAAATATCAGAGTAATCACTGCCATAAACTGGTCGCCTGACGCGTGTTTCAACAAAGCTTTTCTTTGTCCGGCATTAGCTTGGTTCAACATCAGAAGAAAAGTCACGTGTTTTTCTAGTAGCTCACTCATGTTGAGATGGTCGCTCACAAATGTTCCAGCGTGCGTCGACCGATGTCGTTTTATAGCATTTTTGTTTGGTCTAACCTTTCTTGTTGACTTTGGGGCTCGTCCACCATGTGGATATAGCTACAGTGAGGAGAGAGTCGGAAATGTTCGGTCATCGGATCATCTTCTGGTATCCAACGATGAACGCGTAGCTTGCACTTGAAACAGTAGGCTTTATCAGATTGCCCAGTGTATATAAATCCGGCCTTAGCCATGGATGTTGGTGACTGCTTCATCTGCAGTGGCCACTTGTCAAAAGTCTTTAGTCTGTCACTAAACTTTTGTCCATACACCTCAGTACAGAGGTCTGCTTTGGCGCAGTCTGGAACTACGTCGTCAAATCTTCCACATACATCCATAATGACGACGACGACGACGACGACGAGAAAGGTCTGCTCACTTCGAGGGTTGAAAGTTAAATGTTGGAACCCCGGTGCAAAATCACCTTTTTTTTTGTTGTTGTTTAGTAACATCACTGGTGCAAGTACACCGTACACACTTCATCTGGAAATATTCCAGTGCGCAAACGACCATACTGCGGATCAGCATAAGGCGAAACATCCAAAACGAGATACCCATATTTTTTTCCCCCAACGGCATCTTGAAAGGATTCCGCAAAATATTTTGCCTGTCCCGGAAATATTTGCGATGCCAAAATTTTGTATTCGTGCGCTGAACGCGGGTTGGATAGCAGAACGAAGTAATGGGTGTTCAGAGACATGGTTCTGTTGCATTCTCCTTTGGGATAGGCGGATTGTTGTATGTTGATGATGGAAATCCCCAGATGATGCGATAGCGTGGTGTAAAGATAATATTTTTAAGAATCAATACAAGGAGTGCTCACATGAGTGCAGTATTTGAAGTAGTTACAAATGAAGCTAGTGACAAAGGCGTCATTCCATTGTAATTCATTGACATCAAACTGATGGACAATCTGGTTCAATCTTAAATGATCTTTAAATATACACAGTAAAAAATACAAGCAGTAAAACCCACACCCCTTGGAATCTGTAGATTGTAACTGTTGAATATTGCGAGTGTAAGAACCGACGTAGGACTTTAAAAAACGATCGAATACAACGTCAACCGGTTCTGCCAAACTGTCAAACAGCTCTGCTCTGTTGTTTCCTCGGAGATACATAGCAATCCAGTGGCGACCTCTGTTTTGTCTAACATCCGTATTGACGAAGAGACCGACTCCCTTTTTCAGGAAAGAAGGGGAGAGCACGGGTAAAGTATCTTTTACATAAACGCCTAACACGTGTCTCTGTAAGCTCGAGTCGCACTGTATGGCGCACATCAACTGAGAAGCCTTCATCACTTGACGAACACATTGCGGGCTTGGTCGATTTCGATGAGGGAATTCCTCTGAGTCAAGACGACGCAACTGAGAGGTTTGATCAGTGCCGATTTAAATTCAAGTTCCAACCTGACGGTGCCCGATTTCACCAGGTTGAGGTACTCTGAATCTTCGCACATCTTGTCCAGGTCGAAGACGAACAAGGCGCTCTCAAAGAGAAAGTCGCTTCTGGTGATGGCGTTTCCTTCGTCCTTCTTCTAGAGATCCATGCCGTCGAGCATGTTGACGTAAGACTCGACATCGTCCGCCTCCGTGGGTTGACTCGGCACACTGACGCCGTCGACGTACAGGGTTACTTTTTTAAGCATGGAGGACTTGAAATTAAAGGGGTTTCCGGTATACGACCCGTTCAAACTGGCGCTCTCCACCAGTCCCACGATGTATCTGTTGGCCACCGGGTTGGACATGTTGTCGATGGAGTGCGTCTGCTGGCTGGTGGGGATGCTGGTGACCTTGACCTCGGTTTTGGTGTACGGGTAGAGGGCGTTGGACTTTTCGAAGAGTTCGTTGTGAGCCAAGATCAGGGCGGGGTTTACTTTGACTTTGCACACCTGCAGGTAGGCGTCCAAGATCTGAACTTTGAATTTGTGCTCGATCACGCTGCTCATCAAGCAGAATTTAGGATCTGATCTGTACATCTTCAATGTCAGGTCTACCTCGTTCAGCAGGTACCGGTTAACGTCGAAGATATCTTCGTAGATGGGTCCCGACATGGTCAGTACTTTGCTGTCCGCTATGTAGGAGGCTCTCGACGACATTCCGCCATTGATAGATCCGGTGACGTTGCTGCTCTCCAGGTCAGGGTTTTGTTCGGCTACGTCCTTGTAGAACAGCTGCGTGGTCAACTGAGTGCTCTTGGCCTCGTGTCCATACTCCAACAGGGTCTTCATCATACTTTTGTAAGCGTAATGGTTGTTGGTGGAAGACACCAGCTGATTCTGCAGGTAGACCGTCACTTGAGAAAAAAGCGACTGCAAAAACAGATTCACGGGGGCCACATTTTCATCTTCTGCCAAAGCCGTACCGTCCGTTTGAGTGACTTTGACTTGAGGTGTAGACGGGTGCGCTTCAAATCGACGTAGTCGCCTCCGGAATTGGACACGTGAAATTCCAAAGACGTGGAATCGTTGATTTGGCTCATAGGGCGAACGTTGACGAAGTAATGTTTCTGAACACTAGTCTGATAAGGGGGTAGAGTGAAGAGGTTCAAAGTTTCTGGCACCAGCTCTTCGAATTCTTTATCGTTCAACAGAGCCATGATTACTTTTAACTAAAGATATCGTCTTCTTTCACCGGGGTACACTTGAGCACTTTCGCCGTCTTGGAAGGTGTGGCGTTGATGTTGTCAGTTCGACGAATTTTCTTCGTAGTGATGCATTTGACTCCTGCCTTTCGTTTTAAAGCCTTCACCCTCTTGTCTTGAGCCTCTGCCCTGTCAACCACGCTCTGGGATTCCGAAGTCATTTGAACGACTATCTTAGATGCATCTGACCGTTGCGCTGTTTGTGCTGCTGCTGCTGCTGCTGCTGCTGCTGCTGTCGGTCGATGGGGTTGGATCACCATCCTTTGTAATTTCCCATTGACTAGTCTAGACGACCTCTTTTTGTCAAAGTAATGTTTAAACTTGGCGTAGTCGGGAAAGTACAGCGGACGGGAAGACGAATCCATGGTCACAATACTCCTACTACTCCACGAAAGGATAACGTCTCAAATGAAGTGTGGCGTAGGTCTCCTCCGTTAAGAATGAAGGCATGGAGGTATTTGCCGACATTAAATACAACTCGATATTGTTTCTTTCAATTTGATATGAATGTTAAATTCGGTACCAAAAGTGCACGTAGGTCCCTGTCTCAGATCGATGCGTCTCAATAAGGCCAGTTGAGTTTCCCCCACCAACGAACTGTCGCCTAAGTTGCATAACACGTCCACGTAGGGGTCGCCACCGGCGATTTTTGTCAGATTCAGCTTTCCAAAATTGAGCTCGACCAAAGACACCGTCCAGAATCTGTCGAAGGTTAACCTTTGATTTAATTTGACGCGGAAGTGATAAGGAGAATTCTCCGGAAAGGCTGTCGTTTTGGAATCTGTGCTTTTCAGAAAGATGTACTTTTCTATTGTGTCTTTTTTTTTTTTTTTTAGAGGTCTTTCAGTTCACTCTCTTCTACGTAGGAATCAAAAGACGAAGGCCAGCCGAGCGAACGTACGAGAGCGTAGGTTTTCCCTTTCACTTTTTTTCTTTTCAGAATTTTCTCCACCTGCCACAAGACATCCGCAGCTATGTCGACCTTCTGCAGTTCGCTCGCGTAAAAGCTGCCTTCCAGGGGTTCGTCGTGAAAATCTTTCAGCTTGTACTGAGGGAAGGTTTGTTTCTTGTAACGTTGGGCCACTTCAAACAGTTCTTCCGTCCACTTGAGATCGAGTTCCTTGCTGAAAGGTTTCCTGAGGTATGAGATGCGAACCAGGTCGCCCAATTTAAATAAGTATTTCTTGATGACGGGTTTGACTTTTCTCAGAGGTTCCAGATAGACGTGATTCCACACTTTCACTTCGTTGGTTTTATCGACATCTGCCGGAGAGAGACGGGGTAGAGACGAATGTAGGGTATGATTATAATTGGATACTAAATCCGCCAGAACGTCCAGATAATGTTTGAGGTTATTGTGGGTCATGTATCTGGTGATCAGCGATTTCAGTGTTCTGTTGAAACGTTCCACGTAATTACTTTTGATGTTTTCGTTGCGAGCTATGGTGAGTTTTATCTTTTGTTTTTGTAAAAACGTCTTGAACGCGCCCTTAAATTCGCTTCCACCATCTACTCTCACTTTCTCGGGACGTCGCTGCTCGAGGATTTGTTTGAAAGCTTTCAAGACGGTTTCTGGTTTCTTATCGTTTAACGGAAGGGCGAATGCAAAGCGGCTCAATATGTCGATGGCCACCAGCAAGTATCTTACACCATCGTTCCACTTCGTAAACCTAGACAGATCGGCCAAATCCACGTCAAACATTTCGTGGATAGAATTCACTCTGACTTTCATTCGTTTGAAACGGTATCTGACGGGTTTGTGTAAACTGTAAGCATCTTGATTGTTGACAAACCGTCTGACACCCCTCGCTGGAACTTTCAATTGACCTTTCAACACCTTTTTGAGTTTACCCGGACCCCAAAACGCCCCCGGATTTCTGGGAGTGAAATAATAATCTTCCAGTACTTTGTCAGAAGTTATCTCTCTCGAGCTCATTGTGTAATGATAGAATATAATGGATGATGTTTCGTTTTATATCATTGTCATCTATGCGTGTCTGAAGATGAAATACAAAACAAAACAAATTTTCAACATTGATTTTTATTTTCAATATCATAATTAAAATAAACAAACAAACATAGCGCTCGAGAAAACATCTCACCATTCGGCTGTCAAAAGGTTATTTTTCTAAAAATGTACATTCACATTCTTTTGTCTAACTTTAACATCAATCTTTCAATCCCTCCTTCCATTGAGACGTTTTAAATTGAGAGTCACGATAGTCTTTGCATCGATACGGGACCAAGTTAAAGTCTCTCACATCTCGAAAACTCGGGTCTTCTAGCAGCAGTTTTCTCCAGCTTTCGTGCACCTCTCCATCGTCTACGTCGGATAATGTCATGTTAAAGTATTTCTCAACCAGTTGTTGTTCAGACATGTTGCAGGTGTAGTCCCGTTCACCTTCCGCATCGAACATGCACCCGAAACACAGTTCAGAGACAGTCGTTTGATTATCTTGGTGACTTGAATACAGTAGCATAAAGTCAACAGGTTTTCCACGAGTTTCATCTTTTCCGCCATAGCGACCTCGTCTGCGGACAGTGCCCAGCGAGATTTCTTGATGATGACTCGCTTCGTGACGTTGAATTCGTCTTCAAACTTGCGCTTGGCATCCTTCACGCATTCGTCTCGACTTGGAAACCATTCGTGAGATTGACGAATGACTGCCTCGTTTAGGGTGTGCGGCATTTTCACGACCTGCTTCCAGCAATAGAAAGTAGATTTGTCTTTTCTTCCCACTCTGTTTAAAGATAGAATGACTGAATTTAGAATTTCTGTGACAGCTTTTTGTTATTTATTTTTTTTCTTTTAAAACCAAAAAGTGACAAATACCAGCATTAACAAATTAAAAGGCAATAGCTATGTCGAGTGAATACTAAAACTATGATTAACAACTTAAAAGAAATTAGCTATGTTAATTGTAAATCAAAATGGAGTGAACACTAACCTTGTTTCCATGATACAGTAACCGTGTTTTTTCTGACACAACTCGAGTCTCTGAAGGTACAGGATGAAATGCGTGTGATTTAAGCGCAATGACGAGCATGACACTATTCTATTATTTCAAATTCATTGGTTGGTTGGTTAGTTTGTTGATCACGTGTTCATGAAAACCTTTGATGATTGGATCTACATGAAAAAAACATTTCATTGGTTGTTGAGTGGGTGTTTATGTAGTATATTTATGGGTTGAATACTATTCAAACTCTCTCTGATAACCATTCTGTTATCTCTTGTTCATAATACATTCGACAAAGAAAGACAAACATGCATGAAAAGAACACATTATTCTTTTATTTTAACTTTTATTCACACTGAGTAACAGACATATTATTTATTTACAATATATCAAATCAATTCACTGACTATGCATTATTTCATCAATTTATGATACGTAAATGAATACTTTCATGATCTCATCATATGATCTCAATCAATTTGGCCTCCAATCGTTCCTTCCTACTGGAAGTTAAAAAATGTCTGTTCAAGTCATCAACATTCTCATAAGGCAGGTTTTGAATGTCCGGGAAGTCAACTCCAGAAGAATTCTTTTGTGTCCTCGCCTCTTCAAGGATGTTGCCATGGGACACAGCTTCTAAAGCATCGTCAAAGTACATCATCGCACGTTCATCCGACTTCATCATCAAACACTGATGATTGCGTTGCGATGGGTGATTTATCTCACACCCATAACAATTACTATTGCACAATTCATTCACTTTGACACATAGGCGGTCCAAGTAAAGCTTTTCAAGGACCATTTCAAATTGTTCTCTGTTTGATCGAAGATTATGATTTGGTTCGGGAATACTCACTTCCCGGACGCTAATAGTGAAAGGTCCTGTTAATATATCCGCTGATGTGCTATTCTGTTGACGATGAGTTCTCAGGGTTCTCTCCAAAGATCGACATCCAGCAAGATAAGCAGCAAGGAGAGATTGTCTCGATTGTGCCCAATCTCGGATAAGTTCTCCTCTTCCCCCTCTCACCCTGTAGTGATAGGAAGTTGCTCGTCCACTCATCCTGTTTATAGAAAACACATTATTTTATTTTTTTTAAACTTTATATCCTGGACATTTTTTTTTCTGTATGAGTTTTGATTTTTTTTAGCAAACATATTTTGTTACTCTCAAACATATTTCTATTGTTTTATTTTATTTGTTTGTTTTTTGTTTTTCTTTTGATAAAATCTATTTTCAGTTTTATGTCAAACCCCATTTTTCTATGTGTTGATGTCAAACCTATTTTGTTTCTGCCATTTTTTTTCTAGCTTTCATTACTAACTGTTTTTTAAAAATTTATTTCACAACATATTTTTCCAAAAGTATTTTTAAAAACAACAAAAATGAAATGTGTTTACTAGCTTTCACGTGTCGAGGAACACTCCAGAGGTTTCATCATTTCGTTGATGTGGTCATTGTTTGCTAAACGATCTCATTTTTCTCATATTTTCTTGGAATGGGGAATGTTAGTTACAAAGTTCTAAATAGGGTTGAATCCATAGGGTCGAGATTCGATGCCATCTGCCAGCAAGTATCGCTTATCATCTTGAGGAGTTAAACCCAATTTGGTCACTTTGACTGTCAAGAGTGTGTTATGAATGGATCGAATTTGATGAAATGTTGCCATGTTTTGTTGGTGTTTAAAAAGACAATCTTTAAACATCCGATGACGGAGATGGTTTCGGACAAAAGCTTTCTGCACACCTTTAGCAGTGCGTTTCTCTACCCTTTCACCGGGAGTTTTGTCAAAAATAAAACTATAGTTTTTGGGACGAAGTCCGACAAACTCTCCGATGGTTTTGCCACCCACTTCATCTTTCATCAAACCGATGACTTTGTGTCTTTCCATGGAATGAAGTGGGTGGTCTACAGTATAGTGTGAGGTGTCAAAGAGGTGGGTGTTAGCTGACATAAAGTCTTGAGGATCGCGGACAGGAGTACCCACGGGGGAC